ATTATTGAGATTCTGTTGATGAAAAAGCATCTATGTTAATGCATCGTCTTCAACAAATAATCCTCCCTAATAAATAATACATGAGAGACATTTCACAAGATAACTATTGAAAATCGATGTCAGCTGCTACTGTCTTCATTATATCCATTAAGTTTTGGTTTTTGGTTTTCATGTCCAAGAAGCTAGGTGTTAAAAAAACAAGATTTTGAGATAAAAGAGTGTGTATAATATGCGAGCCAGCGAGCCATGGCAGCGAGTCGTGCAGGTCAGATACGACTCATTGAAAATGATACATAAAAATCAAAAAAAGTAATACGGAAAGAATTAACTGTCATCAGGACCTAAAATAAAATGTTTATTTACAAAAAACAAAATGTAGCAATCAATAACTTTTATTGTATCTTTACTCTGATCTGTGAGCTTTGTTTTCTTGAAAGTGCTGTTCAATAGAAACATGAAGAACCGGCTATGAAAAAGAACTTTGGAAAACTTATGTTGTGTCCATGCCAAGTGCAGTAATCATTATTATTTTGGGCCAAACCTTGTCTAATAGAATTGTTTGAGGGTCCCCACAGAGAAGACTTGGATAAAAGTGTTCCTCAAAGTTACAATGCCTTTGGTTTAAAGGCAACCCCAGAGTTAAAAACAATAATTTAGTATTATTCGGATGTAACATCAAATCCCATACAAGAGGATATTTTATAACAAACCATAACCTTGTTGATCTCTGACCTCTGGTCAAATCCGGAGGACTACAAGACTAAGTATCCCATTTTAATCAATAGATCCAAAAGCATGTAACAAGCATAATTCTTAGTTTTCCAATATGTATATTAAATTCTAAAGAGCCTCTTGCATTTGTTAAGCTTGACCAAATAATCAGTGAACTTCAGAAAGTGGAATAATTGAAAGCAATAGGTTTTTTGGAAGCGGGACAAAAAAAAAAATGATCAGGGATAATAAGTAAGATTTTCACTTTGTGGGTTTTCAAGAAGAAAACGCAGGCACAATACCCTCAGAAATCCCTTGTAAACCTGTTGTATACCTGGACGGAACCGCTTCAAGACATAAACCAACAGAATATCATATTCGAAAAAACAGATATTTTACTCACAAATGACTCGATCGCTTGCACCAAAACAATAACCTGAATTACGTATACAGCCGTCTTCTCCGGCCAGTCGCTCACTCGCGGGAGAGAAACAGAAGCAACGGGAAAAATTACATTAACACTTACTGTGAAAGCAAACATAAGGAAATGAATTATAGAACAAGTCACATTTTAGTTGTTTCCAAAGCATTCTTTTTTCCTTATGATATAAAAAAATAATGAAATAAATAGGCACAAACTTGTTAGCGTGCTTACCTATTTTCGATGTACTGATTACATACGCAGTGAGTACGCAGTGCCTACTAAGCGCGCGATAAGCGAAGAACTATAGCGCAGGAATGGTTACTCCCTGTCCTCAAGGTACTTCCCAATTCATAGTAACTAAAAGACAAATAAAAGGCTCGATAAAACAAGAAAAAACGAGAATTTAGTCAATACTCTTTCCTCTCCTCTCCCTTTTCCGCCATTTTGTATGTTTTGAAAATGATCATCGCCGTGGTGATCATGTTATGGTTGGTGACGTAGACCATTGTTTTCGCTTCTTCCAAAACTGGCATACTCCCGAACTGTTTAGGGTGGCGAATTTTCAGCTTGCACGAATTTTTTTTTTTCGCTCACTGGTTGTGAAGGAATTTTTTTTTTCAGGTGAGCGCCTTGCACGAATTTTTTTTTTCAGACAAATATTGCTTTTTTTTTTAACAGTGAAATCTTGATTCATTATCTATGTTTTTGTGCTTTATAAATTATTGTACAACACTCACAACAGATCAAAGGATACAGGCTTAATGCAAAATATTTTCCAAAATGTACACACAGTGAGAGAGGAGATAGCCACTTGGAGTGGACGGCTTCCCTGTGCATTTTTTCAGTCCCTGCCCTCTGGAATTCCTCTCCCACAGCCCATCATAATGATGCCATACTCCATTCACAAATGAAAACCATACTTTGTGGTTCTTAATTTTTGTTAAAAGTACCGGTGGCAGTGTTTCTGTTTATGTCGTTGACAGTTAAAGTTTTAACACTTAGGGACTGTGCAATAATTATCAGGAGGGGGGGATGGGGATGGAAAACTAGAGTTATCTAGCAAAAACTTAGACAGTACCCCCCTCCAAAACAAAAAAATTAGTTCTAATCCCCCTCTGTTATGTTAAAAATAACGTCGCAACCCCCCTACCAACACCCACCCACCCACACACACGCACCCACCCCTCACCGCCACCATTACCATAGATGCCTTTAAGTAAATACCTTTTATATTGTCATGCTACTGTAAGCGTACGCTTACTTGTTGGATGTTGTCGTTTGGAAACACTGGTGAACTCAAAACTGGACTGAGCTGCCATCACAGCTTCAATAATGACAAACGTTATTATGTAACATCTAGTATCGAGAAGGATGTTGATCGCTTGATTGAAGATTTAGACAAAGCATTTGCTAAGTACCGGGGTGCTTACCACATTGGCTCAAAATCTAAAACTTCTGAAGCCAGAAAGAGAAAGGAGCAAAGAGAAAAAAATCAAAGAATAGGAGATTGAACGCTTCAATTAACAGGCGAAAAAGAGCTTGCATTATATTTAGATCCTTGGGAGGAGAGCCTGTTGAACTTTGTTATGAGCCAGATATATATGGAATTCAGCAAATCGATTCAGTCGATGAAGAAACATTACTATTATTCACATCAAAAACCGACAAAGCTTGTTTACGAGATCTGTTTGATTCCCATTTTTTTATGGGGGAAGCTTAAACACAAGTTCATGATTTTTGCTTTAATTAGAAGACGGGTTAAAATTGATGAGTTGTGAATTTGCTTTTCATTTTGATGAAATATTTTCAATAATCGTTTAATTTGATATTTGTTACAGTCTATCATGATGCCTGTATTGAGAATCCTTTATTGTGTTTAATTTTATTTACATTTCGAATAAAACTTAAGGCCCCCCTCCGTCAAATGAGTGATTTTACTTTGAGCCCCCTCTATCTTGGCAGCAATTTTATGTAATTCCCCCCCTCTAGTTTTTCAGCCCCCCCCCCCCTCCCCGCCCCTCCTGATAATTATTGCAAAGTCCCTTACTACTACGTGTGAATGCACTTTTTCATTGTATTATAGAATTCTTATTCAAGGCGGTAAGACCTATCCTCTAATTTTTATTGTGGGCACAAATAATTTTATAGAATATTTACAAAGCTACCAAATTCTAATATTTATTTATTACAAATTTTATTTCATTATTTTTATTATAATACAGTATACAGTGTATGTTGTAGGTACACTAGCTGCAAACAAAAACAAGGCTCTAATTGTCTCCTTTCAATAAGAAGAAAGTGATTTTTGTTTATTCATATTGTGCCTGGTAATATTGTTGATTTCTGAAACTCAGACTTTGTGAAAAAGTCAAAATTGGACCTTCCTTCTGCATGATTTTTTTTCTTTACCTTCTTTGCATGAATTTTTTTTTGGTTTTTTCCCCACCCCCCTCCCCCATCACTTTTCTAATGGCCCGTCCCTTATTGCGCCTCGAATTTGGCGGCTGGCTAAGACCACGCACGGTTAGCAGACTGCGGGCGCGCTTCGCGGGCGACAAGATTATAAAGTCGCTACGCTCGGAAAAATATAAACTTAAATAAAATACAAAGATCTAATGAGCGAGCGTCACAGGTCAAAGATTCTCTTGAAAGGCATAATGATAGTCTTCAAAACAAAAGGTTCGCAAATTCGTTGCATTCCTCATGGGAGTTTTGGGCTGTCTCAATGTAAATCAAAAAAACATGCTGGTTGACAAAATCTTAAGACATGAATAAATTCTAAAAAAGGTCCGCAAATACGTTGAGGACTGGCTCAATGTAAATCGATCTGCGAAGAACACGCTGGTTCTGATTAAGATTTGAGAATATAACCCTATACCTTGATCAACTACCGCTTAAAATTCAATTCACAAAGCAAAAGACAACACGGAAAACCCTGGTTCTCAGTCGAGAAGCGAACGCGCTACCTCATTGTAAATCGAGCTGCAACGAATAAGCTGGTTTGACAACAACTTGAGCGTAAAACCCTATTCCTTGATCAGCTGCTGCCTTAAACACAATTTATAAAGCAAACCAGAGCACTAATTGCCCTTTCAAACTAGAAATCGTATTAGAGCTTGCTCACCTGTTAGGTCCTCTTGAACAGACAACGAACAGCTGTCCACTGAATCACCCAATTTCGGACCACGAGTTATAAATACAAGACCATGACGTCACTACGCAAATATGGGGTCTTACTTACACCCAAATATGGTCAAAAATGCAAATTTTAGATGGTTAAGCAGAATTTGAGAGTTTTTGCCTACATCGTGTGGGATTATAAATCTGCCGCCGAGGCAACCTCGCTTCTTAGCTCGGTTGCCTTGTTGGCAAAAAAAGTAAGTAAGCTTTTCACTGAAAAGCAAAGGAGAACAAATTCTTATTCTCGAATTACGAGTTCATCAGAGCCTAAATTCGAATGTTTCTCGGTGTAAGAGAGAATTCAAACAAGATAACACAACAGAACCGAGAAAAACAAAGTTTACAGGTTCTTACACCGAAGTTAACCCCGTTTTTGCTGCTGTCGGGGATCATCGAGTTGGTAAATATTAAAACCAACACTATATTGTCTAAGCCAACCATAAACATTCAACGTAAAAATGAGGTTGCCTCACATTTCGCAAAGTAAAATGGCAGAAAATGGGGAGGAAACTCTGCAAAATAATTTAAAAACTTAAGTACTTATCTTAAAATGCTCCACGAAAGGTTCCCAGATAAAAACATACCAAAAATGGAGGACAAAGCTACAGCTTTCTAGGAAATCACATGACCAGTAAAGCAATGAAATATTTACATAAGCTTTCTCACCAAGCCCTTCGCCGCCACCAGTCTCAAATCCCCCCAGTCCGGAGAAGGGGGGTGTGTCCTCAAAAATTTCTATGATTTGCTCACTTGACTGGGAAGGGGGCTTGGGAGGAGGTCCACCGCCAGTCTTCTTGTACTCTTTCTTGTGATTACTAAATTCTTTTTTGGCTGTTGAGTGGAGGTTCTTCCATTTGTCTTTTATTTCTTGGACGGAGCGATTCGCTCGGCCAACAGCATTCACCTCCTTGGTAATCTCGTCCCAGACTTGACTTTTTTGTTTGTTTGTTATATTATTCGTCAGCTTTGACTGGGTCACATCAATTTGTTTTTTTACACTTTCTGTAATTACGGAAATCTCAAGCGGTGAGAAATTTGGTTTTCTTTTTCTTTCCTTTACTTCAAGTTCTTTCACCTCATATTCCGCCATTTTGTTGTCTTCACCGGCCCCGCAATCCGCGCCAATTTTTCGCGCAATATCTTTTTAGAGGCAGGCGGTCGAAAAACTCGTTAAACCGGTTTTCATTTAGCACTAATCTGGGATTAGTTAATCGCGGGATAATTTCACTTTCAGGAACTCCTTTTTAACCCACGATTAGTTATCTGAGGAATAAGAAATTTAATCGTGGATGTGACGCTAATCGGAGGATAGACTAATCTGCTTTCCAGGAACCGGGCCTGTTGTATAATACACAGCTGTATATCATTGTTATTGTGGTTCAATTTTATCCCTGGGTAATTTTAGTTTCCTTTGTGTCATACTCATTATCATACATTTTCATACCCAAAAACTCAGGAAAAATTTTAAATTGAAGTATAAAACAAAAAAATAAAAATACTGTCCGTGTATGGCCAAAAGAAAAAAAATGATCACTGGCTCACTCAAAGCTGCACTGGGTGATAGCCTGAATTTCATCGATTACTTCGAGTCGTTATTACTCCCTCAGTAACGTCTGAATCGACCGGCCGTTAATACCGTCCAGTGACGTCACTACTCTTTGACCTTTGCTTTAATTCATGCAAAAAGTAAAACACGATTTTAAATGGCAAACCGAGAAATAACGTTTGGAAATGTCTGCATGATACAGAACTGCTTATTTTTTTCGATCGTAATTCACGTTTAAAGGGACTGGTTCACGATAATGCGCATGCGCGCCGTTTGTCTCTTCAGAATAAATTTGTGGGGTCAACACTAAATTCGAAATCGTCATTACCGGTACAATCATTGAAAATCCTTCGTTTTATTTGGACATCCGTCGCTTTGGCTGGTCTAGTTATACTTCGGTAGTGGTGATTAACGTGTGGTTGTGTCGTTTGACTGGTTACGTTTTAAGAAGACGCAAAAAATAATGTTTTGATCATGGAGGTTCAGAAGAGCATCGTGGCCGTCCGGCAACAGGACGTTCTCAAGAGTCTCTGGAGATAGAGAAGCTTAGCCTATCGATCTTCTATGGTTCTAGGAGTGCTGTGTGGCATACGAAAAGAATACACGACACTTGGAAAGTGGTTAAAGGCATGAGTTCGTTCAACTTTGATTTGATTTTTGACTCCGACCTGTAGTTATACCGCAACAGGCCGCGCGATCTTCACCGATCTGGTACACTTGAATTGTTCCTTGTATCTTTGCATTACGATCGTATATGTTTAAGAATTGATGGTTTTAAAATAAATTATTGCCTGAATATTCTGTTTATAATCTAGTTTCTTTATGTGTGCTACTCGATAACATTTGTTTTGAGGAACACTGACCCGATGCAACGCGAATGAATTTGTTCATTTGCTGATAAGCAATTGAAATTTATGCTCAATTAAGGATAATCTTTATACGCATACGTTGTGTGTTTTTGCCACCGGTCAGGCACTATTTGTAGGTATTTCTGGGTTTATATAAGGCGAACTGAGAGAACAGTAATAAGATGTTTGTTTACAAATTTTGTTTGCCGATCGGTGACTGTTTTGTTAGCGTGGGTACGACCTCGTAAAAATACACGTTGGTAAATGTTTGTTTCAAAGCAGGACAGGGCTGTAAATCTTATTCTTATCGGCTGCAACATATATCTGACTAGTAGCAAAGAATAAACTTGAATTATGGGGATAAATAAAATCAAACCAAATGCCCGGAAATACTCTCGCGTCGCGAACAATTAATTTGAATTTTGTAAATTTACTTGCGTGCATCTAACTCGCTTCCGATTGGTTGAAAAACAATCAGATACTGTCAGAACTCACACATGCGCATTATCGTGAACCAGTCCCTTTAACGTTCAAACTATCAACTGCATGCAGTAAAACTCTGAACCGGTTGTACTAAATTCTACAATCAAACTCGGTGGCAATCACGCAATGAAATAAACACACACACGGAACACTTAGTTCAAAAACACAATGATTTGCTTTAATTGAAAAGAAGCTATTTGGTCCTTAACGAAGAAAAAAACAAGGAGACAAGAAAGAAAAGTTAACAGAATCATTAAACTTGACGGTCAAAATAGCAAGAAGGTCGAATTATAACATTGATCTCAGAAAACTTCGCGTAAACAAAATCACCGGCCGCCGAAACCACAAAGCGGCTCTAAAAAACCTACCGACTCTCCGCAATGATTCTTCATTCGCAGTTCAATTTAGCATTTCAGTTTCGGAGACAAGGGCAATTTTGCTGTTTAAGATAAACATTAAGCTTATCGAAATGTTTGAACTAAACGAAAGAATGCAGGGGATGCGATCCGCTGAATATCAAGAGACAATCCCGCTAAAATTTTTCATAATTATACATAATTATGCGAATGTTTAGACAATCAACCAATCAAAATCACTACCCGGTTTTCGGGTAGTGAGTGACGTCACTGGACGGCATTAACGGCCCGTCGATTCAGACGTTGTTGAGAGGAGAAAACGACTCGAAACAATCGGATGAATTTCAGGCTACACTGGGTGACTGTTTCTTCTAAAAAGGTTTGAACTCTCTGTTGGATACTCCCTTTTGCCCCACCAGCTACAGGTACATACCCCTCCCCCCTCAGGCATGCCATTCAACATAAATATTGTGATAAAAGAAGACCACTGTCAACCTTATTAAAGATAGGCACGTTAAACGTGCATGAGCTATTTTGAATGCTTCAATGTAACTTTAATGCTTCGGTGTAACGTTACCAAGAGTGATGAATCTACCTTTTTCATCCTAAATGTAGATTGGGTTTTTGTGCGAAATTAGGTATTGCGGTACA